GTAGTTATAGTCACTGCCAAACCTCCTCAAATCACGTGCACGTGGTGACATCTCTTGCCAAGATGAGGCCTCGTGGCTAGAGACCGCACAGACCGATCGGTGATTCCTCGGAGGCCACACGAGTAAATCACTTTGATGTTGGATAAGCGTACTTTCAGAATATTGTGTCCGTCCATGTCATCCTGCCGGAGATATAGTCTAGCGCACTTTATCGCTACTTTCTCCCCTCCGAGTAGTTCTCCCTGGTATATATCACCAAAACCACCACTTGCCATGGGGGCACGATCGCATTTACTCAAATCTAGCCGTTCAGTGATGTCAAGACATCGGCGCTGAGTGAGGATTGTGACGATCGTAGAGGCGGGTTACCAATGTAAATAGTTTCGCTAGTGAGTGTTACGCTAAAGATGTGCGTTTTCTACGTACCATAGTACTAGATAGTGCTCGTAACATTTTCAACTGTGTTCTCGGCACCTGAAGACTCCTGTTACCAGTTTTCTCCAACCTATACATGGTGCACTTTACCCGCAATGTTTGTCTGCATAGCACGTGCCAACAGGTTGACCAACATGAGCACTATGGAGGTTGAAATCAAAGCCAGGCTATCAGGAGATCGATCACGAACCACGCTTAGCCAAATTAGATCCTCTGATGGGCGCTCTGGCGTTTCTAGGATCATACTTATGTAGGCATTATTGAAGGTAGCAAAGTGGAGTTACAGTACCGTAGTCTAGACTAGCACAGCTAAACTCATTGATACCAGCTGTTTGGTTCGGATCGGCAGGTGAAAACTGACGCCGGCTGCGGCAGCGGAAAACAACATTGCACGCAAAAACGAAAAGCTAATGCAAGCGCCGCCCCTGAGCGTCAATAATCACGTGACTGAAAGCAACTCCCACGAGCTCTTGGTCTCAGTTTCACCCTGTCCGTCCATACTTTTCCCATAACTTTTGTGTACTTCAATACGTCTATCAATCCGCTCTAATAATTGTTTTATTTGCATCCTTTTATACGAGATATTTCAGGTGTGATAACGCATATACCCGCGCATTCCTTAAGTCAGAGTATTGATTTATGTATACTAGATTTGAACATCCAAAATCCATCATTCATCACCCATTCCGGCTTGATCCAACTCGCCAGCTGAGTCATCAAAGGCGTCGGTAGCTGCACGCCGGAGAAGCCGAACAACCTCACTCTCCTCAAGTAAGCTTGTACTACCTGAGTCCTCCGGATTGGCCTCTGGATCCCAGGGGAAGGGTGAACCTGTCCAACCGCCCGACTGGTATATGAAGTACAAGAATTGGCGCCAGAGCGGATCAAGCCCAAGAACCACCGGATCGCCGACTATAATAAGAAGGGCTTGAGCACGAGTAATTGCCACTACGGGGAGCGTGATAAGCACATAATATCGCTACATGTTGTGAGACCCACCATTCAGCCGCTGCTTGTTTGCAACAAATCCCAGAGTATGCTTGAGATCAAACCCAAGGAAATCCTTGTTACTACGAACAGTCGATAATATGATGACCTGTCGTTCCTATATTTTCATTATGAGCGAGAGTTGTTCGCGCGAGTATACATGGAACGCACTTGGCCTTGGAACTTCTCTACACTACCAATGTCGATGTCATCGATCCCAATGTCACGGAGCAATTGACGTATTTTCCTGACTTGAGCACGATATGGAGTAACAATCCCAATTTGTTTGGTAGTCGCTTGATGTCTAACGTTTAAGTACCTAAGGCGAACAGTCAAGCGCATTACTCACCCATATAAGGCACGAGGCTTTGTACGCATTCTTTCATTAGAGACGCCTCATGGGGGTTGAAGAATGACGGTGAAGTTGACTCCCTCATATCTTCGCCTGCATACAATACACGTGAGTGTTTACTGAGCTCACCTAGCCTCTGATACACTTACCAGTAATGGCTTTTAAGACGATTGGGAATCTTGGAGAAGCCAGTCCATTCCAGTTAAGTAAGGTCTCTGTGATATTCGGCGAGGCGCACGGGATCAGCTCGTTCCTGTAAAATTGCCGGTTTGGGAATGCTAGGATGGATTCGTGACTTCGGAAATTCTTCAACAACTTGATTACGCTGACACATGGACCTAAGTTAGAAGTTTCAAATCATCAAATAACAAATGGACGAACGATATTCCCCGCATAATCACTTCGTCGTACGCTGGCAAAGCCATCAAGCGTTCTAGGTAACTAGTCCCCATTCCAAGTTGCCTCGCGACCGGGGATCGAATAACTGGCCCTAGCTGCTTTGGCTAGTAGACGGACATTGATACTATAAGTATACAGACAGCAGCATACACATGCTGAAGACTCACATCGCCACTTAGAACAACGTTCGTGCTGCTGTTGACCAAAGGTAGAACGGGGATCATGACCTCAGGCTCTGACGTTTGACCTGCCTCATCTATGAATATATGAGTGAAATGGCCTGGGTCTACGCCATGACCGTAGAGTAATGCTGCTGAAGAGCAGGTTGCGACGACAACTCGGTAGGAGTTGAGCTCTTCTAGATCTGGAACTTGGAAACTGCGGTTATAGCGGGAATATCCTAGCAGCTCTTCCGGTAGTTCATTTCGAGGGCGCCAGATCGCGTTGAGCCGGAATAACCCATTTGCACCAAGCGCGCGAGTATCGATTAGTCGTTGGGCAATAAGGTCGCTTGCAGAGTTACTTGGAGCACAGGCCAAAATCTTCGCGGACGGTTTATCTAAAAGCTGAGATATGCATTCTACCACTGTCACCGTCTTCCCGGTTCCTGGCCTGTAACAAAACGGTTAGAGCTGAGAACGCTTATTGTGCGGAAAATGTGTTGTTTGTGCGTACGGGCCAAAAATAACAAAAGGAGGGCTGCCACTCGGAAGTTCGGTAACGCATCTCACGGCCTGGAGCTGCTCGTTATTGGTGTTTAGTAAGCGATTATATGCCCTTGTAGGCTGATTGGATTGCACAGATTGGACGCTAACGTCCGAATGCAGGTCTTCTGGAGATGGAAACGTAATATTAGTTCGTGGATTTGGAACGCTGACCGCTTGGATCATCCGACGAAACGGGACCGGATTCAAGATAAACTCGACGTCATAAGTGGCGGATGGATGGTGCGGGAAAGACGGGTGGAATGAAATTCGAACTTTTGATAGTTGAATTTCGTGCACAATGCCCTTGAACCACACGCCATCTGGCTGGCTGTGTGGGTGAATATTGATCCTATCCCCGCTGAGAACAGAAGGTCTTGGTACGCATTCAGAGTCAGAGATCGCCCCAACGGATTTGTTATTAATAAACTGACCGCTTTTCAGCCAACCCCGGAACCTCAAGTCTGATAGTGAGGTTGAGTTTTAGCTACTATTCAGGCAAGCAATTTAGACGCACTCGTATAGTGTACCACGTCTGACCAAAGTCACATCGTCCATGTCAAAACTGCTCAGGTCAATTCTGGGATGAAATGGTTCCGGCTTAGTTGAACCTTACTGGGGGTGCATATACCCACTCACCTGGCCTGAATATGTTCCGCGTAAACAAGACTGGACCAGAAATGCTTGTACGAGTTCGCCGTGAAGCTCTCAGGCATAAATTTCTCCCCGAATTCGCCGATTTGTTGGTCGACAGCACCGTGAGTCAAAAGTTGTTCGAGGTCGCTTGGGATATCCGCCTGAGGGAGACGTCTCTTGTACTTTGTATGTGAAAATATCTTTTCGCCCCCTCCAATTATTTGAGTTTTGGTGTTTCGCTTACGGGCAAGCCGTGCAGGTCGATACGGAGCAATCGGTGCTAATTGGACCAAATCTGAGTTTGCAACAATAGCTTTCAGGGGTCGCGTAATCATAAAGGTGCCGCTGGCGTCACGGAATACTAGCTCGAGGCGGTCTTCGAATCGTCCTCGTTGCCCGTAGGGATTGAAATGGACCCTCACTGCTACGCTACTATGCAGCTCGATCGAGAATGGAAGTGGGAAACTGGTTATCACAGTAAAACTAGTCCCACATAGCCAACGGCTTGAATCAAAGCTTTATAAGTAGACGGAACGGGGGACTCACCAGAGCTGCAGACCTGGACGCATGCCCAGTGACGCCGAAGTACGCGCCTTGATTAAAGAGACAGATGCGGAGCTGGTGTTTGAGACCCATATGACCACGGGTTCGTTTGTTGATGCTTCCGGAGCCCAGGTACCCAAGTCTAGCCCAGCCTTCGAATCTCCGGACACTTCCACCCCGTTTTTATTCTGCTGTGTGAGAGCTACGGCGCTTAGATAGTTGAATATTCGTTGACGCGCAACGTGTTGTGTTGTGCGGCAGTGCTGGTCGTATACGCTGGTTTGTACCGTAATTTTACAAGCTTCGCATCTTGTAGAATTAGGGGGTGCCTTCGCTTCAACCTGGGTGGCCACACCGGTTGGCGAGTTAGATAAACTGTTGATATGTCCATGCGAGGTCTCGTGGCTTGTCTGTTCAAGACTTCCCCGCCGATAGTAGCGGTTACATGGAACACAGTGTAGCCAATCTAAACCTGCAGCCTCGATTGACTGTCTATGTGTAGCAGTTTGGCTATGGGCATTATACTCAGCTGCCGATCCAAGTTCCAAACGGCAAGGTAAGCAGAAATTAGACGTATCGTGGAGACGTTGACAGTGCTCGTCGAGACAGAAGCCACGCTCCAACAGTAAGGGACATATTGTAGTCATGTCGGTGACGAGATAAACCAACCAGAAAGACCTAGAGGTTAATTCTTGCTACACCCTCTGGGTTTAAAGCTGGTCGACGAGGCCACGCGGTGGAGGGTAAGAGCAAGGGTGGTTACAGCATCTCTACATTTGCATAAAGGATAAGCAAATTTACCCACCTCGTGATTGAAGTGGCAAATCCGAGGCGAAAATCCAGTTGCCACGGGAATAGAACCCACGGAAATCGGCCCGCATCGATATGGGCTCGTGGCTACGGACACACAGCCAATCGGAGGTTTCTCGGCGTCTGGCCAGTAAGCCCTGCTAGCTCAATCGGTAGAGCGTGAGACTTTTACAATCAGAGGCAGTGAGCAGCCTCACCCTCCGATGCCAAATTGTACTTAGCTTGTTCAGGGATCTCAAGGCTGCGGGTTCGAGCCCCGCGTGGGGCTTCATCTTTTTGCACATGTTCACAGTCCATCGCCCAGTTTTGTGTCAGCTACCGATGCTCTTGTAATATATATACATACGTATATCAGTACAGGTGGACCCCCGATCACGTATACCATCAGGGGATTTTCTACGGCTCGGAGAGCCCATTAGAGGACGAGAGGGCCTGGATATAGGTCCCTCTCCACCGACGTCCCCAGAGAGCCAGGGAGCCGCGGGGAGCCGAGGCCAAATACGGCCACACACACTCCCCGCACCGCGCTCACATACGACCGGCCGGCTTTCGAGACCCTATGGGCCCGCCTTACATCAGCCAGGTACGTCGCACTAGCACCAGATATATGACAACGTGCACTAACTAAGGGAATTGGGAATAACACCGAACTTGTGAACCATCCGGCGGATTGTCTTGATGAGTGCGCCGATGTACTTAAATGCTACTTTTTACCTACGGAGCCAGACTGTTGCACCCTTACCAGCCCATCGCACACACAGAACCTGCGAGCAGGGGCTTGCCGCGTCTATCTAGATCAATTCTAATGTATCCTGTTAGTTCACTTTGCGACTTTTCGGGTTTCAGACAAGACAACCCCTATATTTAATGTATCTATTGACTTAGCGCGGCCGCGCTTTGAAATACAGTCTACGTTGATTAATTGTGTGGATTCAGAGCGCGCGCGGGATCGGCGAGCAGCCAGGGGCTGGTGAACGGTTCGGGTGCGCTAGTACGGCGTACCTGGCTGATGTAAGGCGGGCCCATAGGGTCTCGAAAGCCGGCCGGTCGTATGTGAGCGCGGTGCGGGGAGTGTGTGTGGCCGTATTTGGCCTCGGCTCCCCGCGGCTCCCTGGCTCTCTGGGGACGTCGGTGGAGAGGGACCTATATCCAGGCCCTCTCGTCCTCTAATGGGCTCTCCGAGCCGTAGAAAATCCCCTGATGACTGGTAATCATGTATAGCCCCCCGTGATGTATGCGGCGCTTTGAATTGGCAATTCAGCACTCCAGCAACAAGTCACAGCTCCTCTGTCACTACCGTATTGATATACCCCGACGAGGACAACATGAGAGTCGGGAGGTGACACTACCAGTCGTTTGAGACAGTCAAGTACTGGAGATCTTGTCGTTTGAACAACGTAGAAAATGATTCAGAAATCCTAATAAAGAAATTTGAAATGATCAAATCTCGAGATTATGTATGGCCCGTGCTTATTCATGGGACCAAACCGATACATCATCGGGGGTCCACCTGTATGTAAATGAGCTGTCTTGCATTCCTGTTATTTCACGAAAAACTGTACGGTGGGCCCACACGGTACACGTCCGTCCTGCTTGTTAGCTTCCGGTTATACCCTATTGGCTTGCTCGGTTGATCCCGCCTGTCAACTCACACGCCCTCGGGCTTCGGAGTTTCACTTCACCATACGCTGCACTCATCAATAGCACTCTATGCGCAACCTCTTATATCTTCGCTTTGGATTAAAATGTATAGTCCTCAATTTGTGTCTCTGTTAGCTAAATGGCAAGTTCCTAAACTCTGCTTAAATAATCAACCATAGATGGTCAAAAAGCATGGTGTTATTACCACTTGATGGGGATTTCAAAAGAGACACAAAAGTTGTAGACTATACTCGCGTGTTCCGTTCAGTCAATGTATTCGCCGCCAGTTGTTGGCCATCGAACTCAGGCTCTGTGCGACCGGTCTGGTCTAGCTGTTACAGCTGTATAATAGCCGGCGTTTCTGCCTGAGTTTCTGCAACGAAGCGAGGATCGTCTGGGCTCAGTTGGCCGTCAGATCCAATGAGCAAAAGTGAAGGTCGAATCCAGACTGTAAGCGTTACGTTGATCAGCCCCATGAGGTAGAAAATGACGCTGAAAACCATAGACGGGGGCTTCATGCGCGGGTTAGATAGTAGAGAAGGATCCCTGAACGCAGCCCAGCGCATAATGGAAAGTGGAAGAATGCAAAGGGTATAAGCAATAGGGTAGCTACGCGTAGCTCTCTATCAGAATCATTGAAGCTATCATGTTCAGGGAACGGGTAACCTACTACAACATCTTAGCAGGGCTATCTCCGTCTTCGGTACTGGAGTCGGAGCTGGCGTGACTTTGGTTGTCCAATTGACTGTCGTCACGTCCGGACTCGCGCGTCACCTTCAGCTCCCTTCTATTTTTCCGCAAAACAATGTAGGAAGGAACATAGAGGCAGATCGTGCCGACCCCTGCGATCCATAACCTTCAAAAGTGGATTAGAAAATCGATAGATAAACTAGAATAAAATCCAAAGCACCAGAGATATTCGGCAACTATGCGGTCTGTCGTATACTTTCCGTTGATCCAGCACCCTATACGCAAAAACTAGGTTAATTCGCCTGAGACTTAAGCCGTACTATCCACTTACACCATGGAGTCGGAGTGTAATATAACCTTGCGCCATGCCAATCAGGCTCCAGCCCCGCGTGGGTTGCAATGGGCACGACTCCCCACAGAATGACCCATAGCCAGGTAGCAACTATTGCTGCCAGACAGTACCGTGGGCTGTATGATGGACGTTGATTCAGGTAGATCACAACGAAGCTGTAGACAGCGACTAATATGGTAGCAAACGCTACCGCCGTCTCTCCGATGGTTTGAATCGCACCCTGCGCGTTACACATTGGCCCAGTGTATACCTGGCGCTTGTGAGCCCAGTATATGTTCGGTATGGATCCAAGCGACATCCAGATATCGGCGAATATAAGATTCAACTAGCTCGCTACTTCAATCATCCGGCAAACCTCATTAAAGCATTCAATCATACCAGGAGAATATCAATATTTCCTCGGAAGAGTCGCCACGGCCCGGGCGGCGGTTTGACAAGATTACGACGATAATTGCGCTACTCAAAGCAACGCTTAGCAAACACGCATCCTAACTAATTAGTGCTACCAACAATAATGACGCCAATTAATAACAAAAGCGCGACGAGAGATACGAGGCCAGCCTCGGCTTGGAACTAAGTACGGCCGTGACATCAGCGTCAACTAAAGGTATGGCGTAAATAACACACCGCAAGCCCGACAACCGCCCCAGTCTCCAAACAAACGTTTGACGGGTTCTCCTGAGTATCGGGATAGTCTCTATAACCTGTCGCACAGTTAACGGGTCCAGACAGGTACGCTGTGGATAGCATGCTGGAGAGAGCTCTAGAGTTGGTGGCATACAGTCTTGAACCATGGCCCACATATAAGTCAACCACACCAACACAAAACGGAGACAGGGCGCTGTGAGTTGCGCTTCAATCGTCCACATTGGATGTGTATGTGGCGCTAGCTGCTGGGAAATGTGTCTGAATATCGGTCATGCAGTGCTTATCTTCAAGACGGAGGGTCTGGCTCCACTGATAGACTACATCAACTCAATATTCCGCCAAAGAAAAGGCATCACATATCCTAGTAGAGGAACACCGAGGACACCAGTCGCTTGTGGCGTTTTGTCTTAGGTGTGGGACTTGTCTGCGGTTGGCAGTGCAAGCAGTGCTTATCTGCCACTCAATTACTCCAAGCGCCGACGTGGGGCTGGCGCATATAGTCAAGTATCCTCCCTTGAGCATATTGAATTGACACTATTAACGCAACATTCACAGCGTACAAAAAACCTATCCCGAATATACCGCAGGGCCAGGGAACGTATATGAAGTTGGCACTGGGTAGTAGCTAGATAAGAGGTGTTAGCAACGGTAAAGGACTCATGTATGTCAGAGATTCTGCTCACATGTTGATGGTAATGCCCGGGTCGGAGCCTTTGTAGGCACCGGGGAACGACACTCCTGCGGGATTTGCGGACCCGCCGCCAGTAACGTTGATCTGGACACACGACCTATAGTGCCATACTATCAGCGACCACTAAGTATTCTACCCCGGTCCAACGTACATATAGAATTGTGCACCAGGATATGTGCTAGCAGCGTGTAGCCCAATGGTTTCTCCGCGAAGGAGATATTGACCAGGTGCAATGTTGGAGGGGATCTTGAAGGTGTAGCGCCCGTCGGGTTTAGGGGAAGACCACGTGTTCCCGCTCAGTAGTCCCTCTTGTGAGATCTATTTTTGATATATGTGTTAGCCCCGTGAGCCGAGGTAGGGCCAGAGAGCCGTTTTACTCACCTTGAACCACTTCAAGCCCGTAATAGTGGTTGTCTTTGCGTCGCTGACCTTTGCCAAGTAGATCAGGTTAGGTCCAGGGTGAGCACCTTGGTCCCATTGAACATAGGCAGTTGCGCCTGCTGGGACGTTTGTAACACCAGAAGCTGCGCGATTGCCGTTGACGTTGCAGATGATGTCGTTGGAGTTGACATCTGTTACTGGAGAGTTGTTGGGCGGAAGTCTGCGAGTGACGCAGAAGTTCAGTTCTAAACGCCTGGAATGTTTGAGTCAATGAAACTTACCTGACGCTGGTAGTATCAGGAGCGCCACCATTGACGCTGATCGCAGTTAGTCGGACATGGGCCAAAGCAGAGCCGGCGCAGGCGACCGCGAAAAGGAGAGCAGACGAACGCATTGTAGATGCTGATGAGTTTGACTAGGTCGACCAAGTGATTTATATATGCGCACCCCGGCGATATGGTTTCCTCGACGACCCGACAAGACTCCTGGAAGTCATGTGTCTTGGTCAAGCAGTCCCCAGCGTGACTGGTTCAGCTCCGTAGCGAAGGTATCTCTAGACCTAATAATAGACAAAGTGGCCGTCGGAGGAGAAGCTTCGGAAATTAAGTATGACTGCATCTACGCCAATCTACTAAATCGCGAGTGCCAGGCGAAGGCTATCATACTCGATCTTTCATGGCTCTACAACTGTTATCCCCGAACATGGCCCGTTCATCTGCTGAGCTCCTCGGAGAGTGTCACTGCATGTTGTGATGCGGGTTTGCTGTGGGCTATAGATTCTGATCGAAGAGTAGCGCTAAAAATATTACCGGCGCCCGAATCGTCCAGTATGAAGTAAAGATGCACAAGACATAGGCCGGAAGGT